CCCACCGCCGCCGAGCCCGCCTCCCCCACCGTCGCCTCCGCCGCCCTCGCCGCCACCTCCTTTACCACCACCGCCGTCGCCACCACCCCCGAGTCCACCGCCGCCCAGCCCTCCACCGCCCTCGCCCCCAACTCCCTCGCTGCCGCCGCCTTCGCCGTCACCGCCCTCGCCTCCGCCGCCATTCCCGCCGCCGCCCTCGCCGCGTCCCTCTCCGCCGCCACCCTCGCCGCCGCCACCCTCGCCTCCTCCTCCTCCACCGCCCTCGCCCCTGTCGCCGCCGCCTCCCTCGCCCCCGCCGCCCCCGCCTGCGCCGCTCTCGCCACCACCTCCGCTTTTCTCGCTCTCGCCCCCACCTCGCTCGCCGCCGCCCCCGTCCACATCTCCCTCTCCGCCTCCGCCATCGCCACCACCACCATCTCCACCGCCTTCTCCACCGCCTCCGTTGAGGCCGCCACCCTCGCCGCCGCCGCCAAGGCCAACGCCCGTCTCACCATCCCCTCCCTCGCCGGGGACGCCCTCGCCGCCACCTCCGAGCCCGCCCCCGCCCTCGCCGCCGCTTCCCTCGCCGCTGCCTCCGAGCCCCCCGCCTCCATCGCCACCCCCACCATCGCCGCCATCGCCATCCCCGCCCGCGCCCTCGTCGCCACCGCCCTCGCCGCCGCCTCCCTCGCCGCTGCCGCCGTCCCCACCTCCACGCTCTCCGCCCGCGCCCTCGCCGCCGCCGCCCTCGCCGCTGCCGCCCTCGCCGCCGCCCTCACCTCCGCCGCCCTCCACGCCACCGTCCTCGCATACGCCGCCGTCGCCTCCACCGCCTTCTCCGCCGTACATCGACTGGAACCCGTTCTTCCAGGTCTGGCAGCTGCGCGGCAAGTACCCCAACCGCGGCTACCCGAAGATCTTCAACGACGAGACGGTGGGCGAGGAGGCGAAGAAGCTGCACGCCGACGGCGAGGCGCTGATCGCCGACATCATCAAGAACAAGACGCTCAAGGCGCGCGCCGTCGTCGGCATCTGGCCGGCCAACGCGGTCGGCGACGACATCGAGGTGTACGCGGCGGACGGCTCGGGCGCGGTGCGCGGCGTGCTGCACACGCTCCGGCAGCAGGAGGAGCGCGAGGACGACCACTACCTCGCGCTCTCCGACTTTGTCGCCACCAAGGAGTCGGGCGTCAAGGACTACGTCGGCGGCTTCGCCGTGTCGTGCGGCTTTGGGTGCGAGGAGGTCTGCTCCAAGCTGCGCGCCGAGGGCGACGACTACCAGGGCATCATGATGGAGGCGGTGGCGGACCGCCTCGCCGAGGCCTTTGCCGAGCTGCTGCACCACAAGATGCGCAAGGAGCTCTGGGGCTACGCGCCCGACGAGGCGCTCTCGGCCGACGACATGCTCAAGGTCAAGTACCAGGGCATCCGGCCGGCGCCCGGCTACCCGACGCAGCCCGACCACACCGAGAAGGCCTTCCTGTGGGAGCTGCTCGACGCGGAGAAGGCGACGGGCATCACGATGACCGACTCGTTTGCCATGCTGCCCGCCGCATCGGTCTCCGCCGTCATCTTTGCCAACCCGTGCTCCACCTACTTCCAGGTCGGCAAGGTCTGCAAGGACCAGATCACCGACTACGCCAGCCGCAAGGGGATGAGCATGGAGGAGGCGGAGCGGTGGATGGGCCCCTACCTCGCCTACGACCCCGCGGCGTGACCGCGTGAGCGTAGAGCGACCGCCGCGGTCGCTCCGCCGCGATCGCCGCCGCTCGAGCGAATCCCTCTTAGCTGCTGCACACACTGCTAGACTCTTATGGCGCACACACCTGTACTGCCCCCGTACGAATGGAGTATGTTATTGCTTTAAAATTTGTTAAAAGTTTTTGCGAACCAAAAACACACACACACACGGCCCCCTCCGCAGCTCGACTCTCGAGTCGTGGCGCCGCCGGCTGGCGCGCCCCTTTCCATGTCTCGTACACGGATGACACAACGCTTGAAAACGCACTAATCCTTCCCCCCTGTTTTTGCGCCAGCCCAGTCCGTACCGTTGACCACGAAAACACGGGCATTTAGCCGCTAGATTTGGCCCCCATACTGGCGCGTCGCGCGAGGCTTCCCGCGCCACAAAACCGGCCGCGCGGCCCACCGGGGCGATGCCGAGCCACGCCGTAGGGCTCACGCCGCCGGCCGCCGCAGCCGGGCACCGACCGACCGGCTACTACCAGCTGTACGTCTCAGACAAAGGCGTGCCGGTGCGAGAGGGCGCGATCTACTGGATCCAGTGGCGGGCGGGCAGCGGGGAGAGCGCGACGGGCGGCACAGCCATTGCCTACGTGTTCCGCATCTACTCGCCTCCGGGGGGCGACAATCACGACGTGCTGGTCGACATCATGTACGGCGGCACGGGCGCTCACGTCGAGCAATTTAACATGGAGTACAAGCCCCAGGACTCGGCGCGCTTCGAGCTCAAGGAGGAGGACGACGTGTGGACACTCTTGGACGGCTGGTTCGACACCGTCTCCGCGGACAAGCTCCAGGGGCCGGTGCAGTGGGTGCACGTGTGGGCGGCCGACGGCTCCGACCCTGGCGCCCGCCCGCAGCTAGAGTGCGAGGACGAGATGATCCGGCTGGCGGGCGTCGCAACGGTGCACGAGCGATCGCACAAGCTCCTCTCGCCCATGAAGAAGCTGCTGCCGGGCGGGGCGCCCCTCCACCAGCTCCTCTCCGACTTCGCCCGCAACTTGATGCAGCCGCCGCCGGCACCTGCCCCGCACGACGGCGCGCCTTTCCCAGATCCGCTCATAATCACGCGCGCCACGGTCGGCGAGGTCGCATCGGGGCCGAACGAGGGGGCGCTGCTTCGGGTCGGTGGGTCCATCGCGTCCGGCTTCGTGCGCGCCGTCCGCATCACCGACGGGACCACCAGCCGCGTCATCATCCCGCACGGCGGCTCGGGCGGCACTCTCGTGGCGGCGTGGGAGGCGGTGCCGGCCGAGGAGGAGCAAGCGTGCGCGAGGCTCACGGCGCAGCCGCGGCGCAACCGCGCCTGGTTCGGCGTGCTCGAGCGCGAGCTCGTCATCAGGCCAATGCAGCAGCGCACGTTCGACCTCTCCATTTTCGAAGCGGTGCCAGTCATCATCGTGGCCCCGTGCTACTTGGCGCTGCTCAACCTGCACTTCGCGCCGGACGAGCTCTACTCGTTCGAGACGTTCGTCGGCTCGGACGGCCTCCGCGCCGCGCCGCCCCCCCTCTTCCGCCGCTCTCTCCTCGTCATCTCGCGCGAGATTGCGCCGCCGGGCAGCCGCCTAAGGGAGATCACGATCCGGCGGCTGCAAATCGCCATCGTCGCGCAGACCAGCGGCAAGGAGGCGCCCCGCAAGCTGATCCACGCGCGCATCGTCCTCGAGGGCATCTCGTTCGCCGCCTTCACCTCCCTCGACACGTGGCCCGTGGCGGAGTGGACGGGCGACCGCCACACCGGCATCGGGTACGACTTTGAGAGCGCCGACGAGGTGGCCGACACGGTGGGGATGGGCGCGTGGTCGGTCGCTCCGACCATGAAGCAGCTGAGGGACCCCGCCTGGCATGGCGGCTACATGATGCTGCAGGAAGGCCCGGCCAGTATCGAGTATATGGCGGCCGAGTCGAAGCTGGTCCTGAAGCTCAGCATCTCCTACTTTGACCGCAACGGCACCTTCCAGACGGGCGCGCAGCCAGACCAGCCGCCACGGCCCAACATGAAGTACACCATGACGGCGGGGTGGCAGGACAACACCTTTGTCGTCACGCGGGCCGACCTCGAGGCCCACACCGACGCGGGCGCGACCGACTTTACGCACTACCGCGTGCTGGCATGAGGCCCGCGCGCGCGCTGGCCCTCCATCGCTCGGCGCTCTGCCGTCGGCGCGGCCCGTACAGACCGCACAGCGGATAGCATGGCGCATGTATCTCGTACGTGTCGACACGTAGCGCCCTATGTAGCGCCTCGACCATGCGACGCGCTCTGTCTGGCGAGATTTTGGGAGATTGCTCTCGAGATTGCGCGAGATATTGTGATTAATTAATATCTGCACACAAATTTTACAAATTATACACGAACGGGCAATGCAGCCGCCGCACAGTACGCCGCCGTGTTCCCCTTAACACGCGCTCGCCACCACTTCTGGCACTCCGTCCGCACACTAATCGCAACCTCCTTAGCTGGCCGCGCGCCACAGCCTGGCGCTGGGACCGCCGCAGGCGAGCGCTGCCGGCACTGCATCCGTCCAATCGGGCAGCGATGCCGACGGCGGAAACGCCTCGGATGGCGTGGACTCTGTGATGGACGGCGTGGCCCTTCTCGGCCTGCACTGCGCCACGCCCGGCTCCTCGCGACCTGCCTCGCGGGTCGCGTCCGCGTCGCCGGCACCCGCCTCCGGCTCGGGCGCCAGCGTCGGTGCGGCGGCGGCCGGGCTGCAGTCGGCGGCAGAGGCGGCGGCATTGTCACCGCCGGCCCTGCTGGCCGCCACCATAACACGCTCAACGGACCTCAGTACGAGGAGGCGCATCGAGCAGGCCGCTATCGACCACGCACAGCGGCTGGCGGACCTGCGTGAAGCGGTGGCCGATGCGCGGCAGCTGCTCGCAACGCAGCTTCAGAATCCAATCCGGAGCTATGGCGGCAATGACGCCTTCTGGCAGCTGCTGGTCGCTGAGTTCGCGCTGCACCTAGGTCTTCTTCTTCGCTACGTTCGCCGCTGCGGCGCGCCTGGCCTTGAGTGCCTGCGCGGCGCACTGCGCGTCGTGGATGATGTCGGCGTTGGTCAACCCAAATGCGCGGCAGGAGGGGCAGAGTTTGTTGCCGAGGACCTTGACGCACCTGACATCGAGGCGGAGAGGTCCACCGACATCGCCGCTCACGTAGACGTTGGGCAGGACCGGGAGGTTGTAGGCGAGAGGTTCTCGTTCTTCACCTTGAAGAGGATAGAGCCGTCCTTCTCGTCCGACTTGGCGCCCAGGAAAGAGTGATATCCCTCTTGGACGGAGACGACGTTGCCGAAGTGCTTCTTCCCTCTCAACACCGCCTCTACCGCCTCCACCATCGCCGCCGCTGACCACGCCGCCGCCGTCTTCATCACCGCCGTCGCCGCTCCCCCCCC